TATGAATGGTATTTCATTCAGTTGAATTGACACAGCTGGGGCAAAAAAAGTATGCTTCATACTCGTCTGTTCGTGGAGGAAGCTAGCCCCCCTCACTTCGGCTTAAATCAAGACAGCGTTAGGCGAGAATAAGAATCGGCGCTCTGCTAATTCTTTCCTCATTTTAATCATCTCAGAATGTGAACTAGGGTCAAGGAGAGGAACCAGGTAATAAATAGGGCGAGGCCGGCATGCCGGCTACTAAGGTGAGGAGTAACTTTACTGGAACTTTTTTCTTTCTGGGAAAATCTCTTCAAAAGGCTCCTAGATTAAAGCTCCAATCTCCCTTTTTGTGTGTTGAATTCTGAATTCAGAAGCTTGCTGGTTGGAAGGAAGCACAGACAATTTTTTTTTAAGTCCCAGGAACTCAGAGACTCAAAGGTTTGAAAGTCCTGCACCCACAGTGAATTGCCGGCTGAAAGGGGCCGGAGCAGAGCCGGGCCCCGAGGTGTGGAGACCATTGTCATCAAGAGTAAGAGAATGAAATGGCTCTGTATGTAGGTCAATGACCCCCTCACTACTGAAAGGTAAAAAAAAAATTAAGGATGACCTACAATTTACCATGTATAAAAAGATCCTAGAGAAAGTAGCTCTTTCTTGTCAAGGTGATAATGTTTATACTACGTGAAGCCAGACCTCCCCGGACTCTGACTTGGGGGGACTGTTGAAGCTGAAAAGCGCTGGTCAAAACCTCAAGCCCTTTCTGACATCTATTAACTTTTTATTCTTCAAAGTAGTTGGCTGTATCATTGGAGGCGTGGCCCGTGGAATCGGGCAGCATTTTCATTCTAATCAGTGAGATGGAAGGATTCGGCTGTGCATAGTTCTGCCTGAACTTCTGGTGTGTTCGTCACTTACCTTAAACTTTCCCCCAATAACCAGGATTTAAATGAGCCAAGGCTGTCAAAGTAAATGGATAGATTCACAGAGAGAGACCACAGACACAGAAGAGAAAATGAGAAGAAAAAGAAGAAAGAGGGGGAGGAGGAGGAAGACAAAAGAAAAGCGATTTCTCAGAGCCCCGTTTCAATACAAAGACACTTCAAAAGTCCTTATTAAACAATGTCCCGGACCTGTGTGATTTTTGAAAATCCAACCAAAGCTAGGAAATTAGCCTCTTGCATAGTATATGAGCCGAGTGGCTGTCATGGTCTATGTAAACCTCAGCCCTTACAATGCCCAAATGTATTGACCTGCATTAGGGACACTGTCAGGATTCACGCTACGTATGCTTCAAATCCATGTTGCATTTTCATTTCTTAATAAAAAGCCATATTTTCCCAATACGATCTAAGTGGGAGGTTGGCGCTCCAGGCGTGAAGCCAACTTGATTTTTAAAACTCTCTTTATTTTTAAATTATTTTAGATTTACAGAAGAGTTGCAAAGCTAATACGAACAGTTCCCAAATACCCTTCACCCAGCTTCCCCTAAAGTGAACCTCTTACAATATGGTACATTTGTCAAAATTAAGAACTTAACATTGGTTCAGTTCCAGGAACTGAACTGATGTCAAGATTCCTCACAGCGCCAGTAGTCAATACCACGTGGTACTGTGTCACAACAGACAAATACGTCGGTGAAACAGAACAGAACGAGGGAGGAATGGCGCTGCCATGGAGCCCTGGTGAGCTGGCATGTGTCCACACGGGCCATGCAAACAGAGGCTTGAACCACTGCTGATCTGTGTCCTGGCAGAAAACCCATGACCCTCCTGGGTGGGAGGCTGGCAAGGAGCTGCTCAGGGGCCGAAGGCCACTCGCCTCCCTGTGTCTCCTGGGAGGCGTTCAGGAGACAGTTTCTCATCGCCTCCTGGGTTCTCATGAGGTTTGAGACTTCCTGCCTTGCCCCGCTCAGAGTACAGCTGCAGACTATAAAACCGCTCAGCTGAAGTCTAGATTTGGCTGCTTAGCAACGGGGTCACTACGACTCATATTGTCACCAACTGGTCCCTTTTGTTTAGGTGTGGTCCTTTGTGGTGTGTGGGGCAGGGACCGTGAGGAATTGGCACCTTTGGCTATTCTCCTCTTCACTGTTTATGGAGGAGATAAATGGTCTGAATCAAACTCGGGACTTTATCTGTTGAATCGGTCAGACCTTGCCCTGTCTTGTGTGTACTTGACAAGAGTCTAGAAATAAACCCACACATACGTAGTCAGTTGATTTCCAACAAAGGTGCAAAGTCAATTTAGTGGAGAAAGGAAAGGCTTTTTGACAAATGGTGCTGGAACAATTGGATATCCACATGCAAAAAAACAAAAAACAAACCAAACTTCAATCCATCAATCTATACCTCACACCATATTCAGAAATTAACTCAAATTGGCTCATAGACTTAAATATAAAATTATTAAATTTACTGAGGAAAACATAGAAGGAAATCTTTGTGGCCATGCATTAGGCAAAGGTTTTTCTAGATAAGATAGCCCTACACAAATCCTAAAAGAAAAAAATTGATAAGCTGGATCCCACCAACATTAAAAACTTCTGTTCTTTAAAAGACACCTTTAAGAGAAGAAAATAGAATCCAGAGATGGACAGGCCATATTTATAAATTGCATGCCTGACAGGGGACTTGCATCCAGGGAATGTGAAGAAATCTCAACATTTAAGAATAAAACAAACAACCCACTTTTTAAAATGGGTACAAGAGCCCTGGCCAGTGTGCTAAGTGGTTAGAACACCAGCCCGAGCATGGAAGGGTCACGGTTTGACTCCTGGTCAAGGGCACATACCTGGGTTGCAGGTTTGATCCCAACCCCAGTGGGGGCACCTGCAGGAGGCAATCAATTGATATGTTTCTCTCACATCAGTGCTTCTCTCTCTCTCTCTCTCTCTCTCCCACCCCCCTTCCCTCCCTTTCACTCTCTCTAAAAATCAATGGAAAAAATATCCTTGGGTAAGAGTAAAAATAAATAAATAAACAAATAAATAAATAAATAAAATGGGCACAGTATTTGAAAAGGCACGTGGTCACCAAAGAAGACATATGGGTGGCAAATAAGCACATGCAAAGATGCTCAGCATCAGTTGTCATTAGGGGAATGCCAGTCACAACCACACACCGATGGAGTGCCTACAATTAAAGAGCGACCCTACCAAGTACTGTGAGGATGTGAAGCAACTAGACCGCATACATTGCTGGTGGGCCTGCACAATGGCACAGCCACTTTGGAAACCAGTTTGGCAGGTTTACAAAAGGTTATCTTTCAATCACATCATATGACCCCGGCGTTCTAAGCCTAGGTACTTCCCCAGGAAAAATGAAAGCATATACCCATACAAAGCCTGGCACGCAGATGGTCATAGCAGCTTTATTCGTAACAGCCTGAAGCTGGAAACAATTCAGTGCCTTTCAACACACGAATGGAGAAACACACCATGGAATACCACTCAGCAACGACGACGAGTGAGTTATGGACGCACACAACAATATGATGAATCTCAAAGTAACTATGATGAGTGAACGAAGCCAGACAAAAAAAAGAGTACATTCCACTTATATAGAATTCCAGCAAATTCAGACTGAACTACGGTGACAAAAAGCAGATCAGTGGGATAATGGAGGAGGGGGGTGGGGACATAATAATGGGGCCAGGGAACCTTTTGACCGGGATGGGTGTGGTCAGTCTTGATAATAGGGATGGTTTCATGAACACACAGACGTCTGTCTAAATTTATCAGATTGTACACTTCAAACACAGGCAGCTTATTGTATGCAGTTACACCTCCGTAAAGCAGGTCCTGAAAAGTACATTGGAAGAACGCTGCTTCCTTCAGCCACTCTCCAGGCCCCTGGTGGCCTGCTGCCTTGCTGAGTCCCCGCTCTGAACTCGGGTGACATGAGCAGGTGGGGCCCCGCCTTGGTGACCCAGAGCCCAGTGGTAGTGCCTGCTGCACTTCATATGGTGATTTTACTTAATCCTCACCACAGAGACAGAGGCCAAGAAATGACAACCCCCAGGGCAGGGGCTGGAACATTGTGACTAAAAGAAATGTCAAGATGACGCACTGCAAGCCGAGAAACCGAACATGAATCCTGTGCAATGACATGGTGGCTCACAGCTTCTCCCGGGCCTACCGGACCCCGTGGGCACAGACTCTGCAAGGACAAACGCGGGCTTGGACGCGGCAGCTGTAGAACCTCCCGAACCCCAACACCTGGGCGGGCGGTGGGCTGAGACCACCGCTCCCCGAAAAATGCCAGGCCCAGCTCGGCTTCCTAGAGGAACTGCGGAGCCCCGCCCGAGGAGCTAGCCATTTATGTCACACTGTGACAATTATTCTGCATAAAATTATCATTAAAAACTCTAATTTTTCAGCTCCCAACCCCGCCAGTGGCCTTTTAGCATTCTTCAGCACTGCGTCTGAGGGCCGTGATCACCCCGCTCATTACTCGGTGTGGCGCCTCCCCCCTCGCGCTCGCAATC